GAGGGGGGGGAAGTGGGGACACCCAAAACCAGGGGGTTTTGGAGTAAAATGCTGTAGATTGTTTAATATACTAGACTGTTTTGTTTGGGGTTGTTTTTTTATTATTATTATTATTTTATTTTTGTAAGGTCTTGTAGGATTCTGTGTGTTCGTTTGTTCGTTTCCTTTTTGAACGACTCAGGAAAAGAATTTACCTCAGAGAAAAAAAAAAGAAAAACCACCCAACAAAAAGAATGTGTTTTTTAAAAAACTCCTCTTTTTTATCTTCTCAGAAAAGGAGAAAGAGATTTTTTATTATTTTTTCTTTTAGTTGTTTATTTTTAAAAGAGTTTTCAGACCTGGGCTGAAGTTGCTTTTGCTTCCCAAAGTAGGGGGGGAGGAGGAGGAGGAAAGGGATAAAACAAAACAAAACTTGAAGCTGTCACAAAGATGAAAGTTGAATGTATTTTGGGTGCTGTTTCACGTGTATTATGCCATAATTTTATTTGAGTTCCTCTATGATTATGTTGGGGTGTTGTTGTTTTTTTTTGTTATTGTAGCGTTGGGTGGAGTTTTGTGTCTTCACACGGGAGGAGTTGGTGCTGTAGGGTGGAAACTGTGGCCAGCACCACTTTTTGGGTCAGGATAGTCCCCCCCCCAACCCCCTCCCAGTGCTGGTTTTGCCCCAGGGATGGGGGGGGGGGGGTGATGCTGCTGCCAGGCTGCTCCTTTTTCACCCAAAAAAAGGGATTATTTGGGCTTCCCACTGTGGCCTCTCAGCATCCAGAAGCCCCTGCAGGGTCTGGTGGTCACCTCATCATTTGGGGAAATCATTTCCCCCCACCCCCCGAAAAAAAACCCCCCACATCCTGCAGGGCTCAGCGGGGATGGGAGGGGGTGTTTTCCTTGCTTTTATTTTTCAGGGGGTTCCCCCCCCCCGCCCAATAATTAAATAATAATTAAAACAATAATACAATTGGGGGGGTTTTAGACCTTTTCTTACTGGGGGAGGCAGCTGCTCCAGGGTCATCCCCCAG